ATATCTCAGCTCTCTTCTCCTCTCCCTCCTCTCTCACACTTGGTCAAACTTCATGATGTTGGTTTTAACAGACGATGTCTGGGAGGAAAGCACAAGGGGAGAGCTATACCAAAGGAGGATGAAGTCACTGTTCGACACACATGCAACAAGTGATAGCAATGTCCAGAGCTGGGATGAATTCATGTCAGTCTGTTTGTTGCAATATTAATAATGTGCAGATCTGAGACTGGTTTTGAACTATTTAAGGCTAAAATGTTGATCTGAGCGTAGCTGCTAATGCAGGAGTGATTAAATCTGCTCTTGGAGCATAAAAAGAGACGTTAGCCACTTGGGGCCCAGGAGGTTAAGTGAGGTAAAAGGATTCCCCTGTGTGCCTGTAATTGGTGTCTGTCTTGTGAATACTAGCAGGTCCTGGCTGTTCTGCCTGTCCTTAGGAGAGGACTATGGCTCTTCTGCGTTTGGGAAGCTGCTCCGTACGGCATTACCAAAGGTCAGTACTGGGAAATTGCCAAGATGCTTCAGTCTTCACTGAAATGAGTGGGAGCTGTGCGTTGAAATATGGTAGTTCCCATGCACTGTGCAAGTAAAAGACAGAACCACCTTGCTCAGCTGCTGGCAGGCACTAAGCTGCATGACTGCGTGCTTTGCCCTTGTTTTTACGTGATAAGGCTGACTTCTACCAGTTGGGACTGACTTTATCTTGCAACAAGGGGGACAGCAACAGCCAGGGACAGGTCTAGAGCTTCAAACTCTTAAGCTTCTTTCTTTGCTATTTCACCTTTTTGGCACGTGTGGCTTCGCCACCAGGCGGATGTGCAGAGCTTGATGCTCTGTCCTGCGTCTCTGAGGCACTGAGTGCGCTTTAGCTGGCTCCTGCATGCCCAGAGTATTTCAGTTTCCCTCCGCTGTGTCCTGGTACAGTGGGCTGGTGTCCACATCCCTCCTGGGTCTGGAACGATCTTGGCTAAAGCAAGCTGCTTCTCCTGACTTTCTGCGTGAGGGATCCTGTCTTCTGACAACTCCAGTTCATTTGGCACTATTTCTTTTTAATTAAGGGCAGCCCTGGGACTGCTGTTTCAGGGTCAGGTTGGAAGAAACCACCTGAAAACTGGCACCTGGGCTAGCAGAGGCGCAATATATGTGCCAGGAGAGCAGAGCTGGACAGGACAGAGGAAGTCACATTCCTTGCATGTGTGCGTGCTCATCCTCAGCTTGTCTCCAGTGCCGATTTGCGGCTGAAGCTGGCCCTGCTCAGCGCATCTGTTGGCCTTGAATTACCTACTGTGACCCAGACTTACCGGCTTTACCTGACAGATCTCCACCTCTGACCCACAGCATCCTCTGCTCGCTAGAGTTCTCAGCCTTCTCCAGCTTGTCCAGGCTATAAGGGCACTGACCCAAATCAGTGCCTCCTGGCAGGAGGTGGCCAAGGAGCTGGGCCATCTGGAGCTGAATTTGCCACAATTTGGGGTAGGGCAGAATGTGAGTGAGACACTGCCTTAGGCTTACCCACTGCCATGTCCTTGGAGTGGGATGTGGTGTTGATTTGAAGTCATAGAATCCATTTACCTGTGAATATGGACAAATACAGAAATACATAGAATTCAGATTTTTTTATAACCACAATCATTAAAAAATATCTTTCTACTAAGATGTCTGTGCTGGAACATTTCAGTCTTTATCAGTTTTCTCCATGGACTTCATTTGTCCACCAGCAAAGTGCAGCCAGCTCTAGGGCAGAGCGCAGCAGCAGCGCTGCGGAGTTGGTACAGAGAAATCTGCTCCAGTGGGTCGGTAAGTTTATAGAAAATGTGCTGGTCTAGGTATTCCTCAGTCTTTCTGTTTTCGTTGAAATCCATTTGTCTTTCAGAAATGTGATTTGTTTGTAAAACATCTGCATTTCAGTGAAAGCTAAGCTAAAAAAACCCCAGCACCCGGAGAATGTTTTGCTTTATTTGCAGGTCTTTTCTCCCTTTTTCCTCTTTCCATTTTTTTTCCATGACAAGGTGAAAAGGGGAAAGATGAAAGAAAGACAGAGGGGGAAAAGAGAGAAGGCCAACAGAAAAGTCTTCAAAAACTTGGGAACTAAAACTTTCTCATGTAGCTTTTCTTAAAGTTTTGGCAAGAGATGCAAGCATGACTTTTTTTGAAAAACATGCTGGAAGAGCACTCAGGGATTAATTATTTTAAATAGTAAATTGGTGAAAGCTCTTTGCCATATTTCAGTTAGCTCCAGCAGCTCTTTCAGCTGAGACTGGACCTTCCCCATTGCCTTTTCCACCTTAGTTTGACCATGAGGGCGAGCATCTGGCATGAACCTTGGTGTCATGGTGCTGTGGCCAAGACACATTGGGGTCCAGCCCCAGTGCCCCATTGGAGCTCAGCCTTGTTGGCAGGGGGAAGATGAGCTGCAGGCATCAAAATGCAGGGCACCCCTTCTTTTCCCTTCAGAGCTGTGGTCTTGCAGGTGATCCCCCTCCCAGGAGGCAGTGGCTGAAGGAGGCTGTGGACTTCCCAGCTGCCGAAGACCACGGATCAAGGCTGGATGCTTTTCTGGAAGGGCACATCTCCTGGATCCTCTCCCTTGCATCCTATGTCAGGCAGAGAATTAGCTGCTTCCAGGTTGCTCAGGGGGTTGGAAAGGTGAGGGCTGGTTCCTTGGTCCCAGCCTCATCCGGATTTGAGCCATCTCTGCCTTCCCTTTCCTGGGCTTACAAACTCTTCCCTGGAAGGAGAGCCCCTTGGGCCAACGACGGTGCCCGGCTCGCCAGGAGCTCACCTGTCCCTGGGGAGGGGGAAGCTGGAGCTGATGATTTGGCTGGATGCTGCCACTAGCTTCTGCCAAGGATATCTGGTCCCCTAAGCCATGCGGCCACATACAGTCACTTTCTTGTGCCACACACAGGTGGGGTGAACATCATCCCTGCGTGAGGAGCCTGGGGCAGATTTTCCAGCAAGAGGTGAAGAGAAGGGGGGCTTTTAGGGCTCCCCAGGTCAGGTTGGTCACACAATGAAACCAAATTATTGCCTATCTCTCCCTACCATGAACAGGAGGAGATTTCTCACCATTGATGGCCTACCAGACATACATGGTGCCTGGATCTTATCCAGGCTCTCTGCCCAGGGACAAACTGTCCCAACAACAGAGGGAGATGATAAGGGATGCTACCAAAGCTTTTCTTTGGCGTTTTCAGCTGGAAGTTATCACTCATGGTCTTCTCCCTCTCTTCCTCATCCCACGTCCATCTCAAAGTGACCGCATCTCAACCTCCCTTCCCTTTTCACACACGTCTCCCCACCCCACGTTTCCACTCGAGACAAATGGCCGTAAGTCACTTTGTTTTCCTGCGAGGAAATGAAAAATCCTATAAGGATGGGAATCCCCTTCCCCCTCCTCCAGAGGCGACTCGGACCAGAGGACGGGTCGGCGTGGTTCAGAGGCTGTGTTCAGAGCTAGTCCCAGGGGTCCGTGAAATGCTGCAGCTCCTTCCAGGTGGGTTACGACACAAAGGCAAAATCGATTCAGGCCCAGCCAGGAAACATTCGTGCGAGAGAAGTGGAGGGGTCCCACCGTCTTGGCACGGTGCCTTCTCCTCTCGGCCCCGCGGGTGGCACGGCTTTAGGAAGAGCTGTACTTGTTACTCAAGCGGGAGCTGCTCCGGTCCAGCCCAAGCTCCTGCCCGTTGGCTTTCCACTTCCCAACAGAGCCCTTCTCGTCTGTCGGCGTGATGCTCAGAGCCGGTCTCTGGCACCAGCAGCACAGGCAGGACTGCGAGGAGACAAGAGCGTGGAGAGAGAGAGGTTACAGGCGTGGGCTGCAGGGTAAAAGAGGAGGAAATAGTCCCTTACTGATGTTGGCAAGTCAACCTGCGCAGTGCCAGGCTGGGAATCGCACTTCTGAGCCTTGCTGTCCCGCAGATCTGCTGGGAGCAGGTTTTACAAGACAGGGCTGGTGTGGATTAGAAACGAAGAAACCAAAATCTTGGGTACCTTTTGGCAGTTGTATTTTCTTGTCCTTGGGGGACAGAAAATACAGGTAATGCTTAGCCAGGCTCAACTCTTCTTTTTGCCACAGCGGTGAGAGGTGACTCCCATCCCATCCCACCCCCTTCCCTTCTTTTCTCAGGGCTCCACTGCTCCTGAAAATTATCTCCAAATAACTTGGGCTTGAAGTTTGAAGCAGCCCCAGTCCCTGGTCTAATGGTTTGTGGGGATGCTTCTGATCCAGAACGACAGGGGCTTTTTGGCTTGTCCTAGGTCCTGCACTGGCAAAAGCCTCCCCATAGCAGGGCAGCGAGCTCTAGGGGACTTGAAGCTGGGAAGAGAGGCACCTAGCAGGGGGAAAATTTGGGAGGAGAAATACAATCAGAACACGAGCAAATAGGAGAATCCTGTGGGCTGCTGGCAGCCCCAGCATGTCCCTGATGGGGCATTTGTCTGGGAGCCAGGAGCTGCGAGGGCCCTGCCGCTGCTTGCTGGGTTGGTTTGCCAAGCCACTCTCCACCTTGCCCTCATCTTGTCCACAGAAGTCCACTGCGGTGGGGTGCCTCTGGCTGCACCGTGCCTGGTGTCTGGGAACGGTCACCGTAGCCAAGAGCTCTGGAGGGGTCAAGCCTACCTGGAAGCAGTTCTTGAATTTCCGGCTGACAAAGTAGAGAGCCACAGGGTTGATGCAGGAGTTGAGGGAAGCCATGTTGATCCCGAAGTAATCCATCACTAGGAGGAAACTGAGGCGGGAGGGGAGAGAAGAGGGTGGATGTGTTGGAAGCTCACGGAGAACTGAGGGAGGGTTTCCAAAATGCCTGTCAACTGCCTGGCCTGGGAACCTGCTTCTATGGAGGGCCAGTGACTGATACCACAGAGGTGAGCACAAAGCAGTCCCTCCTGCAGTTGGGTATTTGCACAAGGCTTTTTCTTGCGAGGAGCATTTCCTGAGGAAACCAAGAGCATGAGATCTGATCTCCCCTGGTCACCCTGGTGTTCTCAAACTCAAGCACAGTAGTAGTGTCTAATTTTTGGCTGGATTTTGGCATGATGGGTAATGAGGAGAGGGGAAGACAGGATCCTACCAAGTGGCAGAGAGTGTGCACACCCCTCAGACATGATGCAGCCTCTTTAGCCCTGCAGAGAATGTTTCTCTGCCCAGGAGACCTCTCTAACCTATAACTTCATAAAGACATTTCAAAATTTAATTTATTCTCTTCTTATGGTCCCCCACACCCTTTCTCTGTGCCTATCAGGAGAGCAATGCTACCTAGAAAGGAGCTATTGAAACAAGGTGTTTGGAAGGCAACTCCACCAGCCTGCAATGAGCCCAGCAGAGCCTCTGCCAGTGCCCACCGGGGGTCCCAGCACGGTGCCCTCCTGCTGATGCCCCTACCTGAGTAGTTCACATCTGTTGGGGTCTGTCTGGTCATAGATGGTCTTTTTGAGGATGCGGCTGAGGTGGAGCGGCAGCCAGCAGAGTGCAAAGATCACCACCAAGCAGAACACAGTCTTGGCCACCTCCCGGCGCTGTGAAGAGAAGGTGGGCGGGAGAGAAGGGATGGTCTGGCTGAGCGTTGGAGAGCAAAGCACCATCTCCCCATGCTGAGCAAGGGCCCTTCAAGTAATTTCTGCAATCTGATGGCGGCTGGGCACCCCTTTGGAGTCCAAAGCACAACCTTGCAGGTCCCAACTCCTGCATCATGAGGAGGACTCTTAGATCCAGCCTGCAGAAAGGGGTAGGGTACCAGCAACACAATACAGATGAGGCTCCTTCATGCCCCTTCCCACCGTTGCTCCTGGTGAATTTGCTGGAGTGACAGGTCCAGGGACATGGAGGCCTCATCCAGCCACCCTTCACACTGTATTATGGTGACAACCAGCTGCTCTGCCTCAAGGCATCGTTCTGCAAAGTGTGGGAGGGGACAGTAAACTATTCTTTTCCCTGCGTGCCTCGTCTGGGGTATGGTACGTTCAACACTCGGTCCAGTTCGGTGTGATCTGGGCTGGCACAGCACAGCCAGAGATAAACGGCTGTAAGAAACTGAAAATCAAGCTGGTCCATGGCCATAAGGCTGGAGGTTTGGGTTGTCCCTGAGACTGGAGATCGTAGAGCTGAAGGCCGCTCTCCCTGGCTTAATCCACGCATCTGCATCAACGTGCCAATACCTGTTGCCCACTTGCCAGCTCATACGTGTCCTTTACCGGGACAGATGCCTGTTCTCCCCTTCGACAGCACTCCCTTCTGTTTTGGGAAATAGCAGAGTTTCTGCCCTCCTGGTTTTCTTACCCGTTTCATGTGGTCGTTCAGAGCAATTCTCATGCCATTTCTCTTGCTCAGCATCTCGCACGACATGAGGGTGTAGAAGATGCCAGTGCATACCAAGGGGAGGCAGAAATAGAAGCCAAAAAGCCACCAGTCCTTCACATCACGGTAGAACTGCATGCAAAAGAAAGAGCAACTGGAAAATGGGGAAAGGGGTGGGGGTAACTGGGGCATGAACTGACCCGGCCCCTGACACCGATGGTGGCCTGTTATCAGACACTTTTGATGTGTGAGGGTGTAACAGCTCCTGTGCTAATGCACATGGGATCATCTCCCCCCCCGAGGCTGGTGCACATGTTTAACCTGAAGAAGTAAAGCCTGGTTTACATCTGGCTGTCCGTCCAATCTAGCACTTTTGTGCAAGAAACAGTTGCTGGGAGCTTATTTGGTAGACACAGTGGGATAAGTTCTGATGCTCTGTAGGCGTCTTCATTCCCTCGCTCACCCTTAGCGGGTCCTATGATAAAGGTTACCCATGCAGACCGGTTGTGGAGAAGCTCTTTGGCCTGCTGGGACAGCATAGCAGGTTCTGAAGCTCCCCGAGATATGCCATAACCTTCTGATGCGGACGGTGAAGACATGACACGGCTTAAGGACCAGCTGCCTGTTTTCTGGCCCCACATTCAAAGCAATTCTGCCCCACGGCACTACAGTGCTGGGTATTCTGTGCTTTGTCTGATACTGCTCTCCCCTGGGCTCACCCCGATGGCTAGAAGCAGCCATCTACAGAAGCACCTAATCCTCTAATCAAGGAGGGAGGACGCTCGGGTTGCCTGTGTCTCCCTTGCACTGCAGCCGGGGTGGGGCAGAGTACATACCATCATGAAGCTGGATTTCTGTTCGGAGGCAAGCATGCACACCCACAGGTGTCGTTCCCAGTAGCTGAGCTCCACCATGTCGAAGGCTATAGCTTCAGGGACTGCAAGCACGATGGCCACCACCCAGATCAGCATCACCTCCACGGCCTTCCACATGGGGATTCCTATCCCCTGGATCCGGCTCCAGGACGCCACTGCTCGGTACCTGCCCAGCGCGTAGGAAGGCAACAGGAGCAGATTGGAGTGAGAAGAGCAACTGTCAGGAAGGGGCTGAGAAGGTGCAGATTGGAGTTGTCCCCAAAGGCCCTTTCCAGTAGGCTTTCCTCCTCCACCCCTGAACCTTCCCCTTCAGTGGAATGGGAAAGGTCAGAAACAGGGGCTCAACGGATGAACGTGATGGTAGCTATCCTTGGCCAATGTCTACCTGCCACTGGGGAGGTGCCACCCTTCGCCACCACACCAGCGGCTGTTCCAGCACATCATGATCCTCCCCTCAGCTGTTTCCAGCAGGATTTACACTGTCACCAGAGTCAGTTCCTGTTGGATTTCAACTCTACATGACAGCGCGCTGTCCCCGTCTCTGAATTTCGCCTGGGGCCAAGCCACCCTGCAGTCTGCCTTTTGGTGACAATGACATGCTACGGTCAAATATGGCTCAGGCTGGGCAGCGCAGCTGTAGAAGTTTTTCCTTACCTGTCGATGCTGAGAGCACAAAGGCTGAGGACCGTGATACCCACCGAAGCCTTCTGGATGAAGGGGACCAGCTTGCATACCTGCACACCAAAGGGCCAGTCCTTTGCCAAAAGCTGGGGAAGAACCGCAGGGTTAACAGGCTGCTTTGTGAAAGAGCGTCTGGCTTCCCCTAATAGCAGGTGGTTACCCACAAGGTGTGAGAAGCCCACAAAGAGCAGCTGAAAGCACTCTGAGGTTACCTCCGCCGGGATCACGCAGCGTGCGCTCCCCGGTATTTTGTGTTGTGCTGGGAAGCATTCGTTTGCCCAAGGGCTCATTGTGAGATGAGTTGAAACACAGACGGAAGGATGGTCCAGACACCAGGTCCTGACTCCAGACCCTGGGTGGTTTTGAAAGGATCCGAATCCTAAACGCCGCAATGGGCTTCGGGTCACTTTCAGAGGGAAAATGGGTGTCATTCTCTGAAACAGCCAAAATCCAGCAAGGACAGCTTCTTTCAGGTGGCTTTGAAAGCCCTGTAGTCTTAAGCCTTTACCATACTCTGACCCTCTACCACACTTACATTCCTTATAGAACACATATACTGTGGCCCCAAGCTCAGCTGGGGCAAGCAGAGGGTATTGGTGCGGACAAGGTGCCCTGAAGGCAGGAGAAATCCAGGCCACTCACTCATGGGGATGAGAGTGAGCCTGGGTTCAAACCCTTATATTCCCATGACACCTGGAGCCCATCCTAAGGTTACCCCTACTCAGAACCAGCCCCCTGTGCAAGCTCTTTAGTTTGGCCTCAGCAGCAAGATAAATCAATCTAGAAGCTCTCCTGGAAATCGTGTTTTTGGGTGAAAGCAACTGACCAACCCTACCCTTTCCTTTGGTCTGCAAACCCAGGGAGTCCACCCGTCTCATGTGTTGCCGAGAACACACCATGGTGGAACTGGGCTACTCGTAAGACCAGGTTGCTCATAGTCAGTTTGGGCTTCCCACATAAGCAACAATTTCTCCTGCAGGAGGTGGCTGGGAGAGGTGCGGAAGGGAGAGGGGTTGCTCAGGTGGCCTAGGAAAATGCTGAACATCAGTCAGCAAATGCCAGTTTAGATGTGGCCAGAGCAGGGAGTCCCAGCCCTGGAGATTTCACCCAGTTTTCCTGTTACAAGGAAGGCAACACCAATGCAAGATGTTGTCCTGGACAAAGTATCTTGACTCTCTGTTGGTTGCAAGCTGTGCTAGTTGCAGCTCCAAGTGTGTCTCCAAGCCAGTGGCTTGTGTTTACAGGAGGTGTCCTGTAGATGAGGTCTTTGGTCTAAGCCGTGAACTCTGCACAAAGCTCAGTGCAACCCCAGTTGTTGCCCGGCCAGGACGCAGAGCTGGGCGTTGAGCCTGTGACTGGTTTATCTGCCAGCTTTCCTCAGTGAGGTCATTCCTACAGCCTCCATCTGGTCCCACATGCCCCTTTTTTATGATACATAGGACCTTCCTACAACAGAAACTTGTGAAATATGGCAGAACTGGGCAAACAGATCCTGAAAGGAAGGGCTGTCAGACCCATGTCCTCACAGTCCTGGTTGTATAAGCCTTGTTTCTTTGGGAAACCAGGCTAAAACCAACCCAACTGCCCTGATATTGTGGGTGATATAAACAGGACAGATGGACTCTGCAGTCCAGATCCCCCAAAGCGGAGAAGCGTTCGCATCCCATGGAGGCAAGTCTGCCAGACATTTTGCTGTTGCTGTTACTCTGTTCTTGTTAAATATACATTGCACGACGCAAATTCTTTCCCTGGCTGGATGGTGCGTTTCCCATCAAGTGTGGCAAAGGCAGGATTAACACGGAAATCTTCCCTGCCTTGGTTTTGACTGGGGACAAATATTGGAGGGGCTTTGCTCTTCAAGGTTTTGAGGGGCTCAGCTATGACCGTGCTTGTTGGGCTGCCTCCACAACCTCTGCCTGTGCAATGGGCGCAGGGTAGAGGCGATCCCCAGGAGAGCTGCTGGTGTTGCAGCCGTGTTCCCCAGACTGTGTCTCCCCTCTCGGGCAGAAAAAATTGCACCTTTTTCAAAGCCAAAGGGGCCCGTTGGGTGAAAGCGGAGATGGTCTGTACCCCGTGGGTGAAGAGGGGAAACCTTCCCCTGGGGCAGTTCTGCTGGCCCCAAGCTACTCTGTTTTCTTGCACATGAGTGAAACCCTCTGCATGGGTCCATGTTCTTGTAACAGCGGGATCCTCCGGCACGTGGAGAACCTGTTAGTTTTGAGGTTAAAAACCTTTACAGTTTTCAATACATTTTCACTTAAACTGTGTCTATTCACAGTGATTTGAGACCCACTGCCAGCCTCACCTGGTTGTTCTCATTGACAAATTATATGCACCTTCGTCCTACTTCAAATTTCTCTCCCTTCTCCCCCTGCCACCCAGCCTGCTTGATTCAGGACCCCTCTGGCACTCAATTTCCCCTTCTTGGGCTAAAGCTTCCCTTTGACAAATAAACCTGGCTGAGCTCCAAGTCCCTCACCCCACGGCATCCCTTCCAACCCTTCACAGAAACCTCTGCCTCCAGCCCACCAAAACCCGCTTCAAGAAGTGGGCGAGAAAGAGCTGCCGTAGCCCAGAGACGGCTCGCAGACGTCATCACACACCTTCTGCTCTTAACTGGGGTCTCAGCTGTACCCCACGCCTGCCCGGTCCGCCCTGCCCCAGTGCGCCGCGCAGAGCTCCGGTTCCCCTGACTATTTGTTGTGCCTCTTCTCTCTCGTTTAGGGGACGGTGTCTCCGAAAGAAGCCCCTGTTTTATAATGCAGCCCCCTTCCTTGCTCCTGGATGAGTCTTCACGTTTAGCTAGAGTAAAAAAGGTATTTGCTTGAGGCTGGTTAACTGACCTGTGCTGGGAGAAGTGTCCCCAGTGCACAAGAACGATAATTTTTGCTCAGCTGAAATAAGCATTGGGTTGTAACGTCAGGAGACTGCAAGTGATTCTTTTCGTGTGATTTTAGATGAGACTTAAAAGATCTGGAAGGTTGTGTGCCTGTGTTGCATAGCTGAGAACACCTCTGCTTTCCCAGGAATGTACTCCGAGCGTTTTCTCTGTTTATGTTTTTCTCATCCTTTCGGGAGCAGAAACACCCTCCCCCTCTCCCTTGCAAAAATGGAGCCTGCGATAAAGAGCGGAGGGTAGATATTCCGCAGGGCACGCAATCGCCAGGCTGCCGCAGCGCCCGCGCCGCGTGGCGCCTACCTTATATACGTTGATGGGCAGAGCAATGAGGATGTAGAGAAGGTCTCCGAGTGCCAAGCTGGCAATGAGGACATTTGGCCCATTCCTCATGCACTTGTTCTTGTAAATGATCCTCAGGAGCGTGGAGTTCCCGATGATGCCTACGATGAAGATGGTGCAGGACACAATGGTGTTGATGTACTTGAAGATGTGTCTGATATCCGCAGGCTTCACGCACACGGGCAGCAGGGGTGGCTCAGAGCTGGTGCTCCTGGGGAGGCTCTCCGAGCGGTTCGGCAACTTGGCAGCCTGGACCAGGCTTGCCTGGACCAGGCTGTAAGCCTGCTCCTGGCTAAGCACCTCAAAGGGGACGGTGCTCTCCTGGGAAGCCCTTGGGGTCTGGCTGTGTGCCCCGGGGAAGAGGAAAGTCAAGAAAATGGCTAGAGTGGTGGCAGCCGGGATTCTTGCCATTGAGGACCAACTGGCAAAGCCGGGTGCAGAAGTCCTTGCAGCGCTCATGGGATGTCCTTGTGCTTGGGTCTTGGTTGGTTCTGCAGATGGAGAAAGGAACAGAGAACCTGGTTCGCAGAGGAAGGAGGAACGAGACCGGACCGAATGAAAGCAATTGCTGGAGAAAGTCCATCCCCACAGTGATCAGAAATTGCGCCAGATTAGACCCCATCTAGTCAAAGCAGCTGACCCCTGTGGGTGGGAGTCTTTGCTGCTAAAATTAAACACGCCCGTTCAGAAACACAAACTAAAAGGAAAACAAGCAGTCTCTTATGCCTCTTGCACGGTATTTCAGCAAACGAGGGCACCTGCCTCTTCTCAGATAGGTGTGTTGAATCACTTATTGCATCTTCTGAGGCTGGCTGCGCTGCTCACCCACCAAATCTGACTTTTCTGCCCAGCACAGCCTCTTATACCCACCCCACACTTCTCCTTTAGTTTCTGACTGTTTGAAGTAGCAGTTTTGGGGCACCTGCCCCGTCGACACCTGCACATCTGGGCGATTCTGCAGACCCCGGTCGCAGGGTCCACAGAACCAGTGGACCTTTTTTCCCAGTTCATGCCATGGGAAGACTGGAGCCGCGCTAAGACCGCGCTCTTCAGCGGATCCCACGGCTGCCCCACGCCATCTCAGCGCACAGCAAAAAGACTCAGCATAGCCTTGCTGGGAAGCGTGGTGGGAAAATACTACACGGGTTTTTCCAGAAATGCTGTATGGATACCTGACATCTTTTTCCAATTTATGTGCGAGTAGGACAGCCCCTCCTTCCCCATCCTTACCGTCGTTAATTGAACCACTTCCTTTCCAAAGCCACTGTGCCCATTCAACGCAATACTTGGGGATATCAATCTCCCTGTGCCGTTTGCAGTTTTGACTGCTGAGCGCCGTGAAAAGTCTCTCAAGCTCACCGAGGCTGGAGCACTACTAACAAATGTCACCAGAGTGGGTCCTGCTTTGCCAATCTCAGGCGGTGCTTTCAGGCAGGACTCGCTAAGCTGCTGCTCCACAACCGCATGAGGAAGCTGAGGATGGCTGTAGCACTGTGCTGGCACGGGACGAATTTGTGGAAGAGGCTTCCGGATGATCCAGATACCAGTGGGAAGTGAGCCCAGAGAGGAAGATGTCAGCACCCTGTCAGTCTGTGCCACAGGCAGGGATGGATCTCGGGTCTCCTGGTTAGAGTGGGCGAAGAATATGTTTCTCAAACTATGAAACTTTACAGCTTTGAAGGGAGGAAAAATTGCTGCACCTACACTGAAAGCAGGAGCCTTTTTGGGCTCCCCTGGGATGTGCTCTGCTCCAGTTAGGCAGGGATGTGGGTGCCTGCATGGAATTAGGGATGGGACTTCAATCTCCACTCTGACTCCACCAGGCTGATTGGGGATCTGAGCCCAAACCGGCTGTACCCTGGGGATCTGCTCCCCAGGACCACCCAGCCAGGGCACCCCTGGGTTGTAGCACGGTTCCCCCTGCCCAGGACTGGGGGGACCCCAGGACCGGCACATGCATACCTGGTGGGAGCACGCTGCTCCCACTCTGGGAAGGCATGGCCAAGCCAACCGCGGGTCCCGCTAGGCACAACCACAGCTTCTCTAGACACATTCCTCATGTGTCAGGGGCTTAGGCCAGGCTTTGTAGAAATGGCTGTGCCTTCCTATTGTTTGGAAGACTCCAGGCATAATCAGCATGAGGTTGGACACTTTCCCAATGAGCCAGCCTAACCAGCCCTACCTTTTTCTCAGTTTCACCCTACTACTCTTGTCAGAAAATCTGAATCAGCCTTAGTCCTTCCTCACCCTCTTATGTCCTTCAGTCAGGTCCTTCAACTTCGAACTGTAAACAAGCAGTGTTAGGAGGAAGCCTAAAATTTATTCCCAGTTACGTGTCAAATACAGGCAATAAAATAACCAAATCCCTTCACTCACAGTTTAGACCTCGTGAACTAGAGAGTTACCGGTCAAAACCACCGCATTTTAAAGATGTTTCTTTTCTAGTTTGAATCTTTATAGTGGCACCTTAGATATGGTTTCCCCACAGGAAAGTTAAAGATCCCATCACTTTTCAGCTCACTGTAAGCATGCTTCTATCTGCTGGCATATTCATGCCTGGTGCTTAGCAATCTTGGGTGTTCTCTGCGCCTTTTATCTGTGCAGACTCAAACAGCTTTGCAAACTTATCTTGCAGATAAGCCGCATCGGTGTGAGCCAGAACAGGCATTACAAAGTTATCTGCCTGCCTCTGGCTGGGGGGGGGG